AGCCAGACTAGTCTATCTAAAAGCTTGGTCTTTGTTTCTCTCATACTATCTTCATATCAGACATGTTCCCGTTTGTCATATAGGACTTTGGAGAATGCTAGGTACTTCATGGAAGATGAGTGAATATCTATTTAAAAAATTATCTGACCAAATGAATGTATTATGCACTTTTTGGTTACTGTGAAAGATATCCAAAATTTATATAACATTTTCTCTACAAAAGCATAAATTTAAAGATGTTTGTCTCCCATTTGATTTAAATTTTTAGCAGAAATTATTCTTATCCCGTTGTTTTTGAAAAATAAAGATTTTAAATTGGAAAAGTTAGAATTATTTTTATTTTTTCTTCAGGGTCAGTGTTACTATAATCAACCTTTTCATGGAAGTAATGGAATTTTTGTGGCTTAAGAACAGAACAAAAAGTTCTTAGACAAATTAGCAATACTCAGGGAGTGTGTTTAAATGTGGACATCAAAAGCCTGTTTTTTATGATAGTTTTTCTATTGTTTTTTCCTTTTATTAATCCCATGCCTCCTGAGCTTAATTATGTCTCTTTTTTACTGGGATTATTTCAAGCAAATTTGAGGAAGGGTGTTTTTGATGGTGATAATACAATTAATGTAGAAGCAAAATATTTTGAATTGGCTGCTTCTTGCCAGGCAAGGTGAATCTCAAGTGAAAAGTTACCTGGACTTTGGAAAATAAAGGATATAGAGATGGGGAAAATGTAGTTCTTTGGAGGTGTAGCTTTTTTCCCCCAGTGCCTTTGGGGATGTGATCACTGGGTTTTAAAACCACTGTGGTGAGAAACTATTGAAATATTAATGAAAACATAAATTTCTAATTGTATACAATGACTCTTTATATTACATTTATAATTTATAAGCTCTTGAACTTTTTCACCGTTTACTTTTTCCTATATCCTTAAGTGTATTGTTAAATCCAGATAGCTGACTTTTCTTTAATAATGGATAAACTTATGTGTGTTGTTGTTGTTGTTAGGTGCTGTTGAGTTGGCTCTGACTCATAGCAACAGAACAAAGCACTGCCCAGCCCTATGCCAGCCTCACAATCCTTGGTGTACTTGAACCCAGCATTCTAGCTGGTGTGTCAGTTCATCTCATTGAGGGCCTTCCCTTTCTTCGCTGACCCTCCACTTTACCAAGCATGATCTCTTTCTCTAGGGAATGATTCCTTCTAACAACGTGACCAAAGTAGGTGAGACGAAGTCTGGCCATTTTCGCTTCCAAGGAGCATTCCTGCTCTACTTCCTCCAGGACAGATTTGTTTGTTCTTTTGGCAGTCCGTGGTACTTTCAGTATTCTCTGTCAACTCCACAACTCAAAAGTGTCAACTGTTCTTTGGTCTTCCTTTTGTTCATTGTCCAGCTCTCACATGCATATGAGGCAATTGAAAATGCCATGGCTTGGGTTAGGTGCACCTTAGTTTTGAAGGAGACATCTTTTCTCTTCAGCACTTGACAGAGGTCTTTTGCAGCGGATTTGCCCAGTGCAATATGTCGTTCAATGTCTACATGGCTGCTTCCATTGGTGTTGATTGTGGAACCAAATAATATGAAGTCTTTGACAACTTCAATCTTTTCTCCATTTATTATGATACTGCTTATTGGTCCAGTTGTGAGGACTTTTGTTTCCTTTATGTTGAGATGTAATCCATACTGCAGACTAAAGTCTTTAATCTACATCAGTAAGTACTTCAAGTCATCCTCACTTTCAACGAGCAAAGTTGTGTTGTCTGTGTATCACAGGTTGTTAATGACACTTCCTTCAATACTGATGCCACATTCTTCTTCATATAGTCCAGCTTCTTGGATTATTTGCTCAGCATACAAATTGAATAAGTATGGTGAAAGGATACAACTGTGACGCACTGCCTTCCTGATTTTAAACCATGCAGTATCTTCTTGTTCTGTTCGAATGACAGCCTCCTGGTCTATGTACAGGTTTCTGATCAGCACAATCAATATGTTCTGAAATTACCATTGTTCTCAATGTTATCCATAATTTGTTATGATCCACATAATTCAATGCTTTTGTGTATTCAATAAAACACAAGTAAACATCTTTCTGGTATTCTTTGCTTTGAGCCAAGATCCATCAGTAATGATATCCCTTGTTCCATGTCCTCTTCTGAATCCAGCTTGTATTTCTGGAAGTTCTCTGTCAATATACTGCTGCAACCGTTTTTGAATTATCTTCAGCAAGGTTTTACTTGTGTGTGACATTAATGATATTGTTCGATAATTTCCACGTTCTGTGGGATCACCTGTCTTTGGAATGGGTACAAATATGGATCTTTTCTGTCAGTTGGTCAGGTAGCTGTCTTCCAGATTTCTTGGCATAGACCATGGCATCCGTTTGTTGAAACATCTCAGTGGATGTTCTGTCAGTTCCTAGAGCCTTGTTCTTTGCCAGTTTCATCAGTGCACCTTCCACTTCTTCCTTGAATACCATTGGTTCTTGATCATAGGCCACCTCTTGAAATAGATGAACATCGACCGATTCTTTTTGGTATAGTGACTCTGTACATTCCTTCCATCTTCTTTTGATGTTTCCTGCATCATTTAATATTTTGCCCATACAAACGTTCAGTATTGCAAATCGAGGCTTGCATTTTTATTTCAGTTCTTTCATCTTGAGAAATGCTGAGCATGTTCTTCCCTTTTGGTTTTCTAACTCCAGGTCTTTGCGCATTTCATTATGATAATTGACTTTGTCTTCTCAAGTTGCACTTTGAAATCTTCTGTTCAGCTCTTTTGTCTTGTCATTTCTTCCATTTGCTTTAGCTACTCTCCATTCAAGGGCAAGTTTCAGAGTCTCTTCTGACATCTATTTTGGTCTTTTTTTTCCTTTCTTGTCTTTTTAATGACCTTTTGCTTTCTTCATGGATGATGTTCTTGATGTCATCCCACAATTCATCTGGTTTTAGGTCATTGGTGTTCAGTGTGTCAAATCTATTCTTTAGATGGTTTCTAAATTCATGAGGGATATATCAAGGTCATATTTTGGCTTTTGTGGACTTGTTTTAATTGTCTTCAGCTTCAAGTTGAACTTGCATATGAGCAGTTGATGTTCTGTTCCACAATCAGCTCCTGGCCTTGTTTTGGCTGAAGATACTGAGCTTCTGCATCATCTCTTGCCACAGATGTAGTTGATCTGATTCCTGTATACTCTGTCTGGCAAAGTCCATGTGTATAGCCATCGTGTGTGTTGTTGAGAAAAGGTATTTGCATGAATAAGTCATTGGTTTTGCAAAATTCTATCATGCAATCTCCAGTGATAATCTATCGAGGCCATATTTTCCAACTACTCATGATTCTTTTTTGTTTCCAACTTTTGCATTCCAATCTGCAGTGATAATCAACACATCTTGATTGCATGTTTGGTCAATTTCAGACTGCAGAAGCTGGTGAAAATCTTCAGTTTCCTCATCTTTGGCTTTGGTGATTGGTGCACAAATTTGAGTAATAGTTATATCAACTTGTCTTCCTTGTAGGCATATGGACATTATCCTATCACTGACAGCATTGTACTTCAGGGTAGATCTTGAAACATTCTTTGTGACAGTGAATGCCGTGCCATTCCTCTTTAATTTGTCATTCCCGGCATAGTAGATCATATGGTTGTGTGATTCAAAATTCCCAAAAGCCAGTCCATTTCAGCTCACGAATGCCTAAAATACCAATCTTTATGCATTCCATTTCATTTTTGAAAACTTCCAGTTTTTCTAGATTCATACTTTATACATTCCATGTTCTGATTATTAATGGATGTTTGCAGCTGCTTCTTCTCATTTTGAGTCATGCTACATTAGCAAATGGAGGTCCCAAAAGCTTTAGTCCATCCACATCATTAAGGTCAGTTCTACTCTGAGGAGACAGCTCTTCCCCAGTTGTATTTTGTGTGCCTTCCAACTTGAAGGGCTCATCTTCTGGCACTATATTGGACAGAGTTTCAGGGCTGTTAATAAAGTTTTCCAGTAATATATCAGACCATGTCTCACTGCTATTCATAAAGTTTTCACTTGCTAATTCTTTGAGAAGTAGATGGCCCTTTCCTTCTTTCAAGTCTGTGTTAGTCTTAAAGCTTCACTGTAACCTGTCTGCCATGGGTGATTCTGCTGGTATTTGAAACACCGGTAGCATACCATCCAGCCTCACAGCAACATGCAAGCCACCACAGTTTGACAAACTGAGAGAGGAGTGGTGGATGATTCTATCATATATATTATTGATTAGGATTATCGACTCAGTCATATCCTCTGAATCTGTCTTTTTACCCAGTATTTTAGCAGATTTCCAATTCAGTTAAATTACTACCTGGGTGTTATTACATGGTAATGTGATGAAAAATGTTTCAAGGGGAAAAGGACCTTTACTTCTTCCAAAAGGTCATAGCCTTGAAAACCCTGTGGAGCACAGTTCTATTCTGCGTGTGTGGGGTTGCAATGATTCTGAGTCACGTCAATATCAGGTAACAACAATAATCTCCAAAAGAAAAAAAAAAAAGTATTTGTGATGGCTGAGTATCACATATTGAAGACAGACTAGTAATGGTTGGCATAGGTAATAGATAACTGAATGACACTTATAGTGCCATTATGTTTATATTAGGACTGTGGTGGTAATTTTATCATCCCTTAAATCATTGAAGTTTAGTTTGTGTAGTAGAGATAGCAATGGAAAAAAAATAAGAAGATAAACATTTTAGTTCTACTTCTAACAGTAGGATCTTGGAGCAAATTAGTTATCCCTTTTGAATCTTGTTTTTTCATGTGTAAATAGAGGTAACATTTGCCCAGCCTCTATTAGAGATGTCATGATGATTAAATGAAATATTTTGTGAAAGTGGGTTGAAAACATATTCTTATGTGTAAGGTTAGCTCTTACTACTGTTTAGGTTATTAAATGGTTTATGAACATATTGTAAGTATCTACTTTGATTGTGTTTCTTTTTCTCCCACCTTCTGCTTTGTTTCAGACTCCTGGGAGAGTTGGCTCTCAAGGTTCTGATTTAGATTCATCAGGAACGCCTGTAAACACAGTGGATGTCAATAATGAAAGCTCTTCAGAGGTATGCAATAAAAATTTGGCAATAAAATTTAAATGAAGGGAAATAAGCAAATATTTGGAGTAACAGTTGGCAACTTGAACTTGTCTTTTGTAGGAAATGTTTCTTAGGACTTACAAATTGGAGTGTGACTTTTGAGTTATAGTTGCTTAGTATGAGAAAGATTATTTTAAGACTGCAAAATAATAAACCCACTCCTCACTTATCGACATGGTTAGGATCCAAAGATTGGGTTGTTATGCAGAAATCAGCAATATGTGAAAGTAGATGGTGACCACATCATATCACAAAATGGAGTATGATTACATCATTACTTAAATATGAAATTACATCATTACATAACTGCCATATGGCTGAAAATCATGGCCTAGGTAGATTGACACACCTTAACCATCACAGCCAGCATTACTCTTGCCTCACATCCTCAGTGTTTATTACTGCCGGATGTATGTCATTAACATGTGGAATAGTCTGATAATAGATTTTTTTACTATTGTTATAAATGTGAAATATCACATAATGAGATATTCAATAACTGAGGAGTATAAGTGTATTGTCAATTTGTCTTTAATGGTATTGTCTCAACTTAATGATTTTTTTTTTAGTCTGTTAGTAAAGAATTACTGGTTAATTAGTATCTATGTGTGTGTACTATGGATACATTATACACATTACTTGCTGTGTTTTTAAAAAAAATTTGTGTGAACTTTTATCTGTATAGCTCATTAAAAATTAATGGAGAAAATGAAGGATAGTTTAATAAAGAAGTAACTCAGATTTCCTGAGAATGCCACCTTAATTTCATTATATTTTTTTAAAGTTATAATTTCTCATTGTAGAAAATGAAGGTAAGAGAACATAGAAATTGCCAATAACTGCCACAAGAGATCAACACATTTGCACTTACTTCTAACAGTTGTTATCAGTTGCTCTTTTTTGGGCCCAGCTGTACCCTCTACTCCACCCACTTTTCTGTACTCTCTCCTTCCCAGCCTCTTGGCTGGTGGATTCATGTGTTTCTGAGATTTTCTTTCTTTCTATCCATTTATCTCTCTGTTTTGTCTCTCCCTGACTGTCTCTTCATCTGTCTTGCCTCTATGTAAGCATGTTAATTATTATAAGATTTTACAAGATTGGGAGAATAAGAAGAAAAATATCTATTGAACTTTATTAAAAGTTTAATGAAATGTCTTATGAAAAATATTCTAATCTGAGTTCATGATATGATGGGCTCAAAATGCTCAAATATAACCCATGACAGGATTCTAGTAATAATTGTTGACCTCATTCCCAAAACATTACCCAATGAGCATTGAACAGTACCTGTCAATCCCTGTTATATATTTTCAGGACAGTCATTTTCCTACTGTCTGAAAGTTACTTTGTGCCTTTTTCTCTGTCTTTAAATATCCATGTCTCTTAATCCCTTTTCACCTTCCATCGGTCGTGTTTTATATCTCTGAGAAAGTAGGAGCCATTACGCACAAAACTGTACTTGCACCTCTTTTCTCTTTCTTATTTTATTACATAGAAGACAGGTCCATTTTCCAGTGAAAGATCGTATTTTTTCTCTTGTGCTCTAGAATCTTCTGTCTACCTGTCAGATGCTATTTTATTTTATTTTCCCCCTTTCTAAATGGCCTTCGGCAACTCTGGCCTTCTTTCTCTTCTTTAATCACATTAGTTCAGAGTCTTGCTTTTTTTTTGTTTTAAGTTGATCTCTTTGCCTGAACAGTCTTCTCTGGCTCTTGAAATGGCTGACTCCTTTCTTTAAAAATCTTTTATATTTTAGGAAATTATCACCTTCTCAGAGAAGCTTTTCTATCTGAAGTATTTCAGAAATATTTTCCATACATGCTTACTGGTAATGTTTGAGATGAGGCTGCCATCAAACATCAATCCTCACATAGGTTATTGTAACTACCATCCTTTTCTCCAATGTAGGTCACTCCCTGCCCCTCTTCTCCTCCATTTGAATCTATTAAAAAAATTTTTTTTTTTTTTTAAGTCAAGACTTGATAATGCCATTTTCTTGGTCAAAACCCATGTTAGTTAAAGGCTTCCAATTGTTCTTAGAATCCAAACTCTTTAGTGTGTTCTAGAAGTGTGTGTGTGTATGTGTGTTGCCTATAGCTTACTTTATCTTCATTGTCCTCTTTATTCTCATTGATGTAGACATATTGTGCCAAATTTTTTTCTTATTTCTAGTCATTAGCATATGCTGATCCCTATGTGGTACCTGCTTTGCTTTTATTTTTTTGTTTGAATACTGATAATCATTTAAGTCTTATGGTAGATACACCTTTTTCTAGTGAATTTTTCTGACTCACATCTAGTATAGATGCTTTTCCCATGTGCTTTTTGGAACTATATTTCCTATTCCTTTTGTAATGATTATTATGCAATTCATTCATTTATCAAATATTTATTGTGCGCCATCCACCATTTTGGATGTCACAGGTACAGTGGTCAATAAAATAGTCAAAAATCTTTAGCCTATTGGAGGTTACATTCTAGTAGGTACAAATGGGCAAAAACCACACACACAGAAAATATATTAAAAATGTAGAATGGTAGAGAGTTGATGTTATTGTGAAAAATAAAGCAGAGAAATGGAGAAAAAAGTGTTTTGGGTGGTTGTAATTTTCGGTAGGGTTGTCAGAGAAGAATTCTCTGACTAGGTGACAGCTCAGAAAAGTCTGAAGGAAGTGAGGGAATGAGTCATGTGGATTTCTAGGGCAATTGTGTATCCTAGGCATATGAAACAAGTACAGAGTCTCTGTGGTGAGAACAAGCCTGGCATGTGGAAAGAGTAGCCCAGAAACCAGTGTGGCACCACCTCAGTGAGTTAGGGTAGATTGGGCCCAGCTCAGATAGGGCCTTTTATGCAGAGTTAAGTTTAGTTCTGAACAGAGAAGTGACAAAGGTTGATTTACATTTTTATAGGAACCACTTAGGCTGCTGTGTTGAAAATCAATTGTTAACAGGGTAAGGACAGAATAGGGAGATTGCTATGAAGTTAAGGTAATGAGCCCTGGTGGCGCAGTGGTTAAGCACTAGGCTGCTAACCAAAAGGTCACTGGTTCAAACCTACCACAACCACTTCATGAAAGAAAGACATGGCAGTCTGCTTTTGTAGAGTTTTATAGCCTTGGAAACCCGATGGGGCAGTTATACTCTGTTCTATAAGGGTTGTTGTAAGTCAAATCAACTCTATGGCAATGAGTTTGGTTTTGGTTTATGTATAAGGCTATGGTGATTTGTATCAGGGTGGTACGAGTTGACCAACCAGTTGTTGTCAAATCAGCTCTGACTCATGGTAACCATATGTCAAAGTAGAACTGTGCTCTAAGGTTTTTTAATGTCTGGTTTTCCAGTAGTAGATTGGCAGGCTGTTCTTTCTAGGTTTGGTCAGTTAGCAGCTGGCTGTTTTAACTGCTTGCATCATCCAGGCACTAACGATTGGTTATAGTGGAGGTGCTGAGAAATAGTTGGATTCTGAATATATTTTGAAGGTAGAACTGATAGTATTTTCTGACTCCCCCCAAAACATCAATTGCTGCTGAATTGATTCTGAGTCATAATGACCCTATAAGACAGAGAAGAACTGCCCCATGTGATTATTGAGGCTATAAACCTTTATGGAAGCAACCACCACATCTTTCTCCTTGGAGCTGCTGGTGGGTTTGAACTGCTGACATTTCAGTTCGCAGTTGAGCACTTAACCACTGAGCCACCTGGGCTTCTTATTTTCTGATTAGCAAGGTGCAAAATGTAACTTATCTATTTTCTTTTGTGAATTTTCTACTGGCCTGTAAACTTCTTGAGAGTGAAGGCTTTGTCTTTTTTACCATTGTGTTCTTAGCATGTAGCAGAATGGCTGGAACATTATAAGTACATTGTTTTTGGAATGAATGACTGAAGGACTGTTTGTGGAAACTTGGTCAAGAGACAGGAGTAAAATGAAAGGAAGCACAAAGCTGCAGTGGCAAAAATGCAATGATTCATTCTTTTAAAGAAGTATTATTCTGTGGTATAGCATATGGGACTGTGGTTGCCTGGAAGATAAGTCTTTCATCAGTTAAAAAAAAAAAAATATTCTTCACTTTTCATCCCTTGGAAAATATTTTTTAAAGGCTATTAACAAAAGGAATAATGATATTATGAGAGTTAACATTTACTGAATGCTTACTTTGTACCAGATACTATGCACTCTGCAGGTATTATCTCATTTAAGTCTCATGAGACCCATATGAAGTAGTATCTTGTTACCTCATTTAACAGATGAGGAAATTGAGATCACACAGCTAGTAAGGGTAAGGTATCCAGTATTCAAACCTGTCTTAGTTTCTTAGTACTGCTGTGACAGAAATACCACAAGTGGCTGGCTTTAACAAACAAATTTATTTTCTCACAGTTTAGGGGGCTAGAAGTTCCAATTCTAGGCACTGCTGTTGGAGAAGGCTCTCTTCTGTCTCTGTCAGTTCTGGTAGAAAATCCTTGTCACATTTTCTCTAGCCAGAGATCCTTGGAGTTTCTGAGCTTATAGACTCATCTCCATTGTCTTTAGATAATGTTGATGTGCTCCTATGTCTGCTTTCTTCTGTGCCTCGTTTGTAGTTTTATATCCCAAAAGTGATATAAGGCACACCCCCTACAGTGATATGGTCTCATGAACATAACACAGATAAATGTGTTCCCACATGGGATTACATCCACAGGTACAGGTACAGGGGTTAGCATTTACAACACATATTTTTTTGGGGACACAATTTAATCTATTACAGAGCCCAACCCTATCTCTCAACCTCTGCCGTGTATTGCCTCTCATTTTGGCACCTTGTTTTCAGAATTCTCCTTCCTTGCTGTTATCCTAAGTTACTTTGGTGACTCAAGGATCATCCAGACTTACCAGTTCCTTAATATTGCTAATGCTAACAATCTTTTTTTTTTAACCTCTCTTCTTGCTACTCAAGCCAATGACAGTACCTCCCACCTTGTTG